TGCTGCCTGATATCCAGTGTTCTCATTGCCTGGGGCTGCTCTATCTCCTTTGTTCTCCAGCAAAACTTTGTCCAGGTCTGACCAAGGACCAGCAGACTGCCCTTTCCTACTGTTTGGACACTCACATAAGCCCTGTTAATCCTTGCCTTGTCAAACCTCACTCCCTTGATCATTCTGCATCTGGGTCTCTCTCTCTAGTAAACTGCTTTGACAAAACCGTGACAGAACGAACCAGTCATCACCAGACCCAGCAGCAATGAGCATCCGTATAATTCCTCCCAGTACCGCCAAGGAGAGACCGGCACTCCAGCAGGCAGTGGCATCACTCCGCCAGCAGGGCCGGGATGTGCGTTCATTTGCCCAGTTCTTCTGTACCATGGCAACGGGCCTGGAGTACCCGGATTCAACCCTTAAAGAGGCATTCAGTCACTGCTTGGATGATCCCATACTAAAATGGGAGATGGAGCAACTAGGGATCCTAGACTATTGGAACTTTTCCAATTATCTGCATCACCGCAAAGACTGGCAGATCCTTAACCCTCCTTAGGATGTCTGCAGCGACTACTCTGCCTCTCTTCCTCCTTTGCGTCAAGTCCATGATTATCTTCCGACTCCCACTGAGAAACGAAGGAACAAGAGGGCGGCTCGAGTTGCTGCATCTGCCAGCCCCTGAGTCAGTCTGCAGTGACCAACCTGTTCCTCTTCCTTCATGGAGTCAACTCCAAGATCATCTTCTGACTCCAAAGAAGCTCAAGTCGAGAAGGAGAGCAGCCCAGAACACCGCGTCAGTCGCGGAGCCAGTCGAGTCCGCTCCTGCCAGTCGAGTCCACCCAAATCCTCCCAGTGATGGTCAAGGTTTCTTCCGTCATTCCTGAGTTGATGGAGAGGGTTGCAGTCACCCCAGAAGCGGCCAATCATGCACCTTTGAGCCCTCAAATGTAAGAAGAGGAGGGCACACATTGTGCAGCTAAACGCTCTTTCAGAGGTCCCAAGCACACTGGTCCAGGAGGGCCTGAGTTCAGAGGCCGCCGATCCATTGGCCCAGGAGGGCCCGAGTCAGGTGCCCCTGAGTTCAATGGTTCTAGAGGACCTGATTCTGATGATCCCTAATCCAGTGGTCCAGGAGGACCCGAGTCAGGAGAGCTCAAACCCATTGGTCCAGGAGGACCTGTATCAAGAGGCCTCCAGTCCAGAGGTCCAGGAGAGTTTGAGTCAAGAGGTCCCCAATCCTGTGGTTCAGGAGGACCCGACTCAGTTGGTCCTGTATTCAGTGGTTCCAGAGATGTACAGTCTGGAACCAACCCCTAAGCCGCCTACGTCACCAGCTAAGCCTGTGTTGAAGGAACCTGAGACTGCACCGTCTGAATTATTTGAGACCTGTTTTGTCCAAGGTGGGCACTCTAATCAGCACTGCTGCCTCAACAGAAACTGTTCATGACCTGGCCATGGAGGTCATTCCAGAGCATCTCACCCTGCCTGTTATGGCCATGGAGGCTACCTCAGAACAGCGAGCCAGTCCTGTTGTGCCCACAGAAACCAATCCTGTTTGTCATGTCATGCTTTCAGAACCCATTCCTGTTTCGGCCACGGAGGCCCTTCCTGAGCAACTGAGTGCACCTGTTAGGGCCACGGAGGCCATCTTGGATGTGATCTCCAGTCATGTTTTGCCCATGGAGACTGATCCTGTCTGTAATGTCATGCCCTCTGATTCTGTTCTGGCCGCGGAGACCCTTCAACAGCATCCATGTCTGCCTGCTAAGGCCACAAAGACCGCCTTGGGCCTATCATCCAGTCTAGTCATAACCAGATGCAGGAGTTATCCTCATTACCCACAAGTGCAGTTGTGGATCCTGATTTTGTTCCTAAGCATTTCCCTCATTTCCCTAATGCATCTATTCGAGACTCCAAACCCAGTTGGAAGTTCCCATCAGTGAAGAGGGCCCCCATCTCTAGAGGTGTCCCTAATCGGACGCCTATCCCACCCTCCATATTGCCTGGCTGTCATGCTCCTCCAAAGTTACCACCTTTTTGGGCAGTCCCAAGATATTCCCCTAGACTGTTTTCTGCCCTCCCAGCCCTGCCCCCTGTGTTTCCTGGCTACTCTGGACCTCCAATCTTTCCTCCCCACCTGCCCCCCCAGTTGGTACCTTCTTGGTCCCTAATTAACCCAGTTCTCCCTTGGATTCCTTCACCCAGTGTGGACGCCTGGAGGCGTCCATTCGAGGGGGGGTACTGTCAGGGCCCTGCCTGGTCATGTCTGTTCTGTCTTTGTTTAACGTTTCCTTGTTTGTCTTGTGTCTGAGCACATGGCTTTGTCTTTGTTTATGTTGGCCATGTGCTCCTCTCGTCCTGCCCCCTTGTTTCCCTCTAC